TATATATATATATATGTGTATATGTCAGGAGATTTAATTACTAAAATAAACATATGAATAAATATATCTATATTATTCGTCTGCGCAATGATATTTTTATTTGTTCTATTATGGGGAATATATAATGCATTATTAATGAACACTTAAATATTGATTAAGTATTGTTGATGATTAATTAATTAACAATAGTATTTACATTTAAAAAATTTATTTTTATTTTTATTATTTTATCAAAGCTTAGATTAGCCGTTTTAAACAATTTGATTTACAACAACAAGCTTTAGCTATCTCTCTGATCCAAATATACAATCATATAGATTTTATTGTATTTATGCCTATGGGGAATATTGAAAAACAATTAAATATATTTGAAAATATTTGATGATTTCTTTAATTTATTTTTTTCCATATATGTATCCAACTATGAAAAAAAAATATTGACAAAAACATCAATTGATAATGTTCTTAGTTAAATGACTTAATATAAATCATATTTTCCATTTTTCTTACTTACGCGCATCCATTGTCATTCGGCGATCTCTCTACCCGCTTGACGTTGCTGACGTCATTGAATGTGTGACAAAAAATAAAAGAGGTATCGTTGCTGAGTCATGCATGGGCTCAACGTCGCTTTAGAGTCAGCACACAAAATGTGCACATTGTGGTTGAGATACCCTATAGAGAGTGCTAGAAAGGGCAGCTTAAATAAAGTGACAAGCTTTAAACTTTTACAGTAAGCTGAAGTGAGAAAATTTTATCTAAAATATGTGTTGGAATATATTTTATTTGCAAATACTTATGATATATGATATATATAATTCTGGATTTTAGTTCATATACTTAAATAAATATTGATATATAAATAGTTTAAAGTCATGAAAATTTAGTAAGCCAAATAGCTATCGTAGTTATATGTATAAGGCATATTTCTCATAGCGTTTGTTTTTGACAGCATATCTTCCAGATGAGCTCTCTGCCTTGGGTACTCCCTTGGCCATTTCCGCCGTTGTCAGCCCCAGCAGCTCTTCAAATAGATAACCTAGCAGAGCTTGAGCAAACATAGCCAAGAACTGGCCAGTCAGTGGGTGGGCGGGGCGTAGTCGGATTGCGAGACTTCAATGTCAGAGCGTCAACGTGTTCACACTTCAAGGTGTGAGTGGGGGGGAATAACTGGAACCACAATCACAGCACTTATGCGACGTTGTAAACAATGCGACGCATTTGTATGAAAAACGAAAGTCAGCACCTAGTCATAATATTCGTGGGTCACGTATTCTCATAGAGCGTTGGCGATGTGGCTGAAGGTCAGATTTAAAATAGAAGATAGAGGAGATGCGGAGTAGGGTATTGTATTACAGAGAATGAATAATTCTAATTAAAAATATATTTTTAGAATATTTAGCTAGTACGTTTATTTTATTTTACTTTATTTTATTATATTTTATTTATGGATTTATGATTTACTACTCGTACTGTTCAGAACTAGCCGAAAATATTGCTAAACCAGCTGCGTATCGGGGCAAAGCAGATGGGCTTGGTCAGCCAGAGCGTGTCCACAGAGAGGCGCAACACCTCCATGTAGTCGAAGGTGCAGCTGCTCTGCTCGAAAGCCTTCGTGCTAAGCTTCACCGGCCTCGGTGTCGTCGTCGACGTCGCCTTCACATCGCCCTCATCGTTGTCGAGGGCGGCTCGAGCGAAAGCCTCGTCGGCATCGAAGTAGTAAAACTCCTTGCGCGTGGAGTTGGTCTCCACCACACGCGAGGGCTGCTGGGCATCCAGGCCGCGGGCGTAGGCCCAGGAGCCGGACTGCCGAGATTGGCGATAGGGCGTGGGCAGGAGTGGAGAGAGCGGCGAGAGCGGGTAGCTGGGCAGGCGCCCCGGATAGCTGGGCCAGAGCGAGGATTGTGGCTGATAGCCGACCAAACTAGGCCGATAGCCTACTAAGCCAAACTGGGACTGAAGTCCGCCGAGCTGCGACTGCAGTCCACCAAATTGTGTCAGTCCTCCGAGCTGTGGCTGAAGTCCTCCGAGCTGTGACTGTAATCCACCCAACTGTGTCTGAAGTCCTCCGAGCTGGGGCTGTAGCCCAGCCAGCTGTGGCTGATAGCCACCAAGACCCGGCTGAGTCAAAGGATTATTGCCAATCAGCCCATAGTTGCTCGTGTCCTGATCGTGAAAGATCTCGAGCAGAAAGCCATTTGTGGGCGTGGCGCTTGACTGACCCATGCGCAAACGCAAAGCCTTGCGGCCCTGTGGCCAAAAGGATTTGTGTATATGACCCGAACGACAGCCACAATAGCGCTGGCCATCTATCTCGATAAAGTCCCCGGTGCAACTGGAGACCCCTGGAACAACCTGAGCCGGATAAATGCCGCCCGAAGAGTGGCCAAAGTCGAAGAATTTGAATTGAATGCGCAGGCCGGCGACATTCTGCGAACTCTTCTCCAAATAGAAGACGCAATCGCGCTGCTGATTGGGCAGCAGAGCGTTGAGCACGGTGCGCGGAAAACCGGGACTGGACAAATAGAAATGGGCCTGATTGAAGCTGCTGATGCAGCATAGATCCACCTGCCCACCAAACTGTGGATCGTAATCACGCAGGAGGGCGTTGGGTGCTTGGAAGGAGCTCGTCTGGTACTGATCCGAGATGCTGGGCAGCTGTTGCTCCTGCGTCTGCAGCTGTTGTTGTTGTTGCTGTTGCCCTGGCTGTTGCTGCTGTTGCAGCAGCTGTTGCCACTGTTGCAGCTGATGCCACTGTTGCTGCTGAGCTAGCTGTTGCTGTTGCTGGAGCCATTGCAGCTGCAGCTGTTGCCACTGTTGTTGAGGCAGCAGCAACTGTTGCTGCTGTGCAAATTGTTGAGGCTGCAGGAACTGTTGCTGTGGCTGCTGTTGCTGCTGCTGCTGCTGCTGCTGCTGCTGCTGCAGTTGCTTTTGTATCTGCTGCAACTGTTGCTGCTGCTGTTGCTGCAGCGGCAACTTTTCATCATTGCACGGCGGAGCAGCGGGCAAATAAAGCCCACCAGAAAAGCCTGGATACGGCGGCAAAGCCGGATAAGCAGCAGGCAGTGTGAAATTGCGATGTGCCACACCTTGATGTGGGTGATGTTTCCTGCTTGGCAACTGAGCAGTTACCTGCACCGTGTCATCATCGTCGCCGCTGTCCGTATCCAAGCCACGTGCCGTCACTTCCTCTCGCTCGCAGGCCAAGCGCGTCACCAGCAGACGAAAGCCACCGCCCGTAGTCCAGGGCGAGTCGTCACTTAAAAATCTCAAACGCAGTATTCCGTCCGGCGTCTGATACTTTTTAATGCCTCGCACCTGGCCGCAGAGCACGTCCAAATCGCGCTCATCCTGCTGCAGTCCGACAGCCAAATAATCACGGCTGCAATTCTCCGACAGCTCCAGCTGAAAGTCAAGGAACTGCACGTGAAATTTGGTCGGACAGCGATAGGGCGAACGGATAACATAATCGACGCAGCTGTTGAACGGATAAGTGTCCGGATAATTCGGTGATTCAATCAAACTCTGGCGCTCTCTATAGACGCCCTGGAGCGTGCATTGCGGCAGCTCGTCGTGCACCAAGGCGCAACCACCTGAGATTAACTGAAGTATATATGCAAGTATATACACATTACATATGCGGGTAGGTCCTGGCATATCCTTGCGCCACATTTTGCGAGGCCAATTAGCGAGCACCTGAGTTAGCGCGCGACAAAATACAACTAAACACGTCGCAGGTCACACGACGTCGACTCTACGGCCATACAATTATTGTAGGTGCGACTTTTTCGGTTTCACTTGCATTAGCTATAGGCTCTACCATGGTGTCTACCTCTCCCCACGACTCTCCTCGTCCATCTGCCCGAAACAATTTGCACTCTTGTTTATGTACTGGAAACAAAAGCGTTTGCTTGTCTCCCCAAACGCTTACAGCAAATGGTATTCCAAACATCTCTGCCCCATTCCATTCACGACTCACTTCATTTAGTCCAATGAACTCGCTAATATTGGCCATCTTATATATCTCGCATATTTCTAGTAAATACTTCCTACTTCAAGTACTTTTAGCATCTAGTTGACAATGTGCCGCAAAAACGTTTCATTAGAATATTTTACAATAACAGCTACTCTTCAATTTATCCCACTTCAGATGAGTGTCTCAATTGTATATAGTTGGGGCTAGATATTAACATATGCATCGATTCTTATGGCATTCATGAAAGACAATTTGTTATATAGATAGAAAGCCATAAATTCAGAGACCCGAGAGAAAAGAGTATACAAATATTAGGTAGTGTTATTAGTCATTATTATTTGCATCCATATTAGCATTGTCATAATCATTACCGTTATTATTGTTATTGTCCATGATCGTATTTATTATTATCCTTATAATCATACCATCATAATCAATTGCTATTGTTAATTTTCATGATCATGCATCATCTATCATTATCATTGCTATAATTGTTGTCATTGTCCTGATCATCACTATCAATACTATTCTTAATAATTATGAATACACCTATCATAATGATTATTATTCATTCGTTGTTAAACATTGGCATATTCCTTATAGCCTTGCCCTTTACCACTCCACTCTATATCAGTAATAAATTTCACACACTAATGGAACATTTATTGCATTGTTAGCAATTAACGCATACATTCAGTTTGAACAATTCATTTTTTACCATTTCCATTTCACATTTCACGTAAGTAGAGAAGCAGCAAAAATCAAGTTTTTAAAAGCCAATGCGTTCGGAGCTGTTGAAAAACGCAGTCATAAAATCAATAAGAGCAAATAAAAGAGGCAACAACAATAACAACAATAAAAAAACCAACAGTGCGTATTGACAATGCCAAACAAGTTGCATAATACCACAGAAAATACATATATACATATGTTAATATCGTGGGAGCGGATGCTGCACTTGAACCACGCCCCTAGGTTGCCTATGGAAAGCAAAAGTTTACTTTCACTTGGCAGCCTTTAGCATAACTTGAATTTGTTTCAAATAAATATACATTGAACTACTCCATGAACCATTGGGAAAAGAGTAGGAGGGAGAGAGAGCGAGAGAGATAGCGAGCTGTTAGAGAGAGGTGAATAGGTGAATAGAATAGAAAAGTAAGAGAGAGAAAGATTGAGCGGGAGAGAGACTGAGAGGCATAGAGTGCGTGAGAGAGAGAGAGAGAGAGAAATAGACATACTAAGAGAGGGACAGCAAAAAGAACAGCAAAGATCAGATAGAGATAGAGAGAGCAAGAGAAGGAGACAAAGATAGCAAGAGAGAAATAATTAAAATAATTGGTAGTAACTTTGACAAGAGTACCCGACTTGAAATTACCAAAACCCCTGTAACTCAATGAAGCTCAATATTTCCCTTTTTTCTGTTTTCTAAACAAATGTCGGAATTTTGTAGACTCCTTTCATTACTCAGCCTAAACATTTTGAAGTTGTAAGATGTTCATTTGGGGGAAAAAATAGGCCCTTCTGTCAGAATACTAATTCCATAAAATAAATTCAAAATTGAAGTAAAGCAAAAACAATTTTTTGGTCGTATGTTTCGCCAATTTTCGGCTCTTTAAATTAGTAAATCCCCAAATTTGCAATTTTGTTTTTAATCAGATCCAAATTCGCAGCAGCTAACACAGCAAGATGACAATGCGACTGAATTTAGATGCTATACTGAGGAATCAAATGCATGCGGAACCGAGGGGCTATGATATGAATGATATATACACGAAGGGGAGTCACGGACTGCGAATGGGTCAGGAAAATACCGTCGATCGCTACTTCTCCGACAAAGCGGATGTCAAGTCTCGTGTGGACTCAATGATGGCCAACATACACAGGCATATGAAAAGTGAGTGGGACAGCAATGCATTGCATAATGCTATTAATTGGCAATGTACGCCTTCTAGCTACCACTCCGCCACGCAAGGCCGTGCCCTCTATACCTGCTGCTATAGCGGAAATACCCCCGCCTCCTAGCGTAACCAAGCTAGCGACATCCACATCCAAAAAAATTCGTCGTATCCGAGGCGGCGGTATTAGCCCGATGCCGGCAGCTAAAACGAAGCTGCCCTTGTCGCAGGTGAAAGCACGGCTGAATCGACAGACACAGCAGGTGATGAGGCGTGGCTACACGGAACTTGGTCCGAAAAGCTTTACCAATCAGCGCCGCATTCGTGAGGTGTTGCTGCAAAAAACTGTGCTAGAGAATATGTTGTTACAGCACAAGAGATTGCAGCGCGACAGGCAAACGATTGCGCTGGATATACAGCGAATGCGACAGGATCTCGATCGGATTAAAACCAAGCTGGATACATCGTTGCAAGCGCTAAACTCGACACGTACTCTGTACACGGGAATCACCAAAAACAAAAAGAATATGGGATCTCCATTTCCGGATGTTAATCTTGACGGTCCCGGCTCAACTCGATCAGGCGTATCCAAAAACAGATCCGTTGCAGCTAAACTGAATAATATAACCACTAAGCGTCAGCATGCGGCTGCAGTGAAGCGGCGCAATCGCGTTTAGGTGTTTAAATATCCATTTTCACTTCCAAGGTAAAAATCAGCCATATGGCTTCCAGTGGCAATCAGTTCGAAATCAAAACTAAAGTCTAGCAATATAAACGTAATTAATATTCGAAGCAATACGGAAATTGAAGTAAGCGGGCAAATTGATGGCAGCCCTAGTAACTAAATTTCGTGCACGACGATATTGTCTTATCGATATTTGTGTGTGGCAGCCATCGATTATTGGTTTTTATATTTCTAAACGATAGCGTGTTTCACCTGAAATTCAAATCAGCGCGGAATTAGCAGCCCTCGTCGACACAATACGAGTATTAGTCTATCGATATATTGTGTTGCAACTATCGATGCTCGGTTTTGACATCACTAAATCATGGCGTCTGTCTCGCCTACAACAGCCAAAAATTTTGTTTTTTCATTTATTTGGGTAGATTTACATTTTGTTTTGCATAAAAAAAGAGAAGCCTGCTTCAAATATGGGCTCATCAAAAAAGCACAAAAAGAACAAATCGGAACGACGCGAGAAGTATGAAGGTAAGAGTCAAAACTAAATGTTTGTAGCGCGTGTTTGTGAAAGTAACACATTCAATTCTAGAATATAGCCAGCATCAGGATCCGGCACAGCTGCAACGTGGTCTGAAGCTGATATTAAAGGTCGGCTCCAATGCAACGCCCGAGTACAAAGCCAACTCCCCACTTGATGGCCTTGGCGGACCTCCAACTGCAGCAGAGGCAATGATGGCCGCTGCTCCTGGAAGCCCACTAATAGCAATTTCCGAGGAGGTGGGCCATCGTGAACGACATAAGAAATCAAAAAAGAAGAAGAAGAAGAAGGATCGCGAGAAGAAGCACAAACATCATCACAAGGAGAAGCGTCGCGAAAGACATCGCGAATTGTGCTCTGATGACGAGCGACAAATGGACGATGCCATTGGTCCAGATGAAGCAGCCTGCAGTGGTCGCCAAATGCCGATGGCGACAGCACCGGCAGTTGGCGATTGCTCACAGGATGGCTTCAGCTTTATGGACGACGATGCGGAAGAGGAGCAATCACAGCCGCTGCCAGAAAATATTTTATATTATGCAGGCATCACCACCGACAATTCGCCATCCAGTTGCCCAGTCACCAAGCCCATAACAGCGCGTAAATTGGACGAAATGCTGCTCAGTTCACCCACATGTTCGTCCAGTCCAACTAAGCCCCTGCCTGACGTAAGACAAATATCATTAAAGTTTTAGTCATATAGAGATAAATTTCTTCATTCCACACAGCTGCTGATACCATCGCCTTCCGGCTCCACGGCCTGCTCATTGAATGCCCTAACACCCAAAGCACTGGAGGCGCCCAAAACTCCCAGCAGCAGCAGTGAATCAGGCAGAGAACCAAGATCTTGTGTGCTCAAACTAAAGCAACAGAAGTCGCCTTTGAATAAGCTACTGGAGCACTTGCTACGCTTTCTGGAGAAACGAGATCCGCATCAGTTCTTTGCATGGCCCGTCACGGATGACATTGCTCCGGGCTACTCATCGATCATCCACAAACCGATGGACTTTTCAACAATGCGGCAAAAGATAGAGGATCATGAGTATGCGGCGTTAAGTGAATTCACCGATGATTTCCGTTTAATGTGTGAGAATGCAATCAAGTACAATCATGTGGATACCGTTTACCATAAAGCAGCTAAGCGCTTGCTCCAATTGGGCTTGAAGCATTTGCAACCGGATAATTTGATGCGCACATTGAAACCTCTTTCTGGCTACATACGTGAATTAACCGCCAAAGAGTTGGGCTTTGAATTGAGCTCCAATGAGTTAGCTGGCTATGATATGGCACACGATTCGGCGGATGAGGGCGCTTCAACTGGTGCGGAAGAGCCCACGCCCGCTCAACTGGAGGAGGAGGAACGGAAGAGAGCCTTACGTTTAGAGAATGCACCAAAAACCCATTTTGAACCCTACGTGGATGACCTAACCAGCGAGGAGATACTAGCCCAGGTACAGAACGCAGCACAGCAGGCCAAGCAACGTGTCAGCTCCAAGCAGCGTGCTCATAAAATGGGTTTCCTACGACAGCGCAAGGATGGAACCACTACACTGAATTTACTTATTCGAGATGAAAATGAAGGACCAGAAAAGGTGGTCACCATTGGAGAT